AGCAGGGGTTCCCAGAGCGTGCGTCTCCCCCTCCCAATCCCTGCCCTGGCCTGTCCTCCCACAGCGTCCGGCATTACCTCTCTGCCGAGGGGATGGCTCTGCGCAGCGCCAAGGAGTTCCTGGTGCAGCAGACACGCTCCATGCGGAGGCGGCAGACGGCTCTGAAAGCGGCCCAGCAGCACTGGCGCCACGAACTGGCCAGCGACCCCCCAGGCACCAAGGCCCTGGAGGACGTGTGCAAGAACCTGGAGGAGGTCAGGAACCTGGAGCACTCGCCTTGGGCTTGCCCGCGGTTGGTCCTTCTGGGGACTCCACCGGAGTGGCCGTGTAGGCCTGGGGTCCCTGGAAGTCTTGAGATGCAGATGGTGTATTTCCACGAGGATGGAAGCACCTGACATCTACGTGGCAGTGCAGTGTGAGGAATGGAATGCTGTCTCTCGCAGGAAGTCATTGGTCCTCACAAGAGCCGTAAGGTGGGATCATTCCTGTTTTCTAGGCGAAGAGGACGCGTGAGATTTTCACAGCTCCGCTTCGCTTGTCCGTTCTCTCACACGCAAGACTTTGAGTTCTGTTCTCCTCCTCATCCCTTAACTGGCAGTGAAAAGCAGAGACTTGGTGGTTATCATTAGTGCCATTTGAGGGTCTTGGCAGAAGATCATGTCTGGTCCCTTAGAATTCTCATGGTGCTCAGAGCTGATGAGGGGGCTGAGGCCTTGTGGCCCCTAAGCCCGGCTTTGGGGGCGGCAGAGGGCAAGAGGCTGGTACAGGCAGAGGGGCAGCCTTCCCAGGGACATCTGCTGCATCCTCCTGGTGATGGTGGTGAGAGTTGTGGTAGTTGGAACAGTGATGACAATAACCATTTGGTTAACAGAAACCATGTGAGACCTGGTTGGGTGTGGGCGTAGGGCTAGGCATGTAGCAGACTCTGTCTCATCTAATTCTCATGACCCATGTGAAAAGTATTTTTCTTTTTCAGATGAGTATTCAGACTGAGAGAAGTAATTTGTTCACGATCACCCAGCCAATAAGCGGCCAAGCTGGGACTCCTGCATCTGTGTGGTTAGACACCATCGTTCTCCCCTTTCTCCCTCAGGAGACCAGGCACCTGGATGAGATGAGGTCGGCCATGCGGAAAGGCCACAACCTGCTGAAGAAGAAAGAGGAGAAGCTGCATCAGCTGGAGTCCTCTCTCCGGGAAGAGGTACGGCCCAGCACAGCCACGGCGTCCCTCTTCTGTTCCTGGGATTCGGTTGGGTTGTTTGGTCCTGTGTCGGGGGAGCCAGGCCGCTAGGGCCCAGGATCGGCAGGAGGTAGGTCTCCTGGGCTGGTGAACAAATCTGGGAGCTTAGCTATCTGGGCCGAGTGCGCCTGAGCGGACCTGGAGCCACTTGCTGTAGGTGCTTGAGAGCAGCGTGGCCCCTGCCCTACCCTATGCCCTGGTGCCTGAGAGGTGTGGCCCAGCTGTCAGGCTTAGACGCTCCTAGAAGGTCTTCCCTGGGACCTTGAAGACTTTACCTTGGATGCCTGAGGTGTGGGTGCGACAGAAGGGAAGCTTAGGTGGAGGGACACTATGGGGGAAGGGTGGGGAGTCTGGTGCCAGTGGCCCTACTGCTCCTCTTAGGCGGTTGACTTCTCCCAGAACCTTGGGTCCAAAGAGCCTACCCACCAAGTCCTCAGCCCTCACATGTCACGAGGGCAATGGGCAGAAAGCCACAGGGCAAGCGCCAGGCTAACTGCACCTTCCACCTGCCAGGCTGCAGACGAGGACACGCTCAGAGGCCCCCCCACCAAGAAGGTGACCTTTGACCTCAGCGACCTGGAAGACCCGAGCAGCGACAGTTCCGAATCCTGGCCCCTGCCTCACAGTGAGTGGTGGGGGAGGACCCCAGTCTCCAGGGAGAGGAAGGAGCAGAGATGTGGCCCCCTTCACGCCGTCCGGCCTGGGTGGGCCTCTGGGAGCTAGTGCTCAGGGGATGCTTTAGGTGGGAGTGAACTCACTCTGGGTTTGCCAGCACACCCAGCCCAAAGCTCAGGGAAAGCCTCATGACCATGCAGAGCACCCACAGTGAGAGGAGTGTCCCTCTCAGCCGCTCCTGGCTGCAGCGGAGGGGAGGGCCTGGTCCCTGAGAGGCTCATTCTCACGGCCAGTGACACAGCACTGGGGCTTTTGTCTGGAGGAACAAAGGGGCGGGCCCCCGGGACGCACAGTACCAGCTGAGCCTGGGGCCAGTCCAGGGCCCTGAACCGGAGATCTTTCCTCCCTTCCAGTGGGCCCGACCCTGCATCCCACCTTTCCCCACAAGATCCACTACCTGAGCAGCTCCCTGCAGCGGATCAGCAGCCAGCTCAACGGGGTCCTCAGCGTGCTGGGCAGCCTGAACACGCAGCCAGTACCCCCGCTCCTCACCTCCACGCCCGCGCCACTCCCTCCCCGGGCCTCCAGGAGCACCCCCACTGTCCCCTGCCCCTCCTCGGCTCGGGTCTCAGCCTTGTCTTCGGATACCCCCATGTCCACCCAGTGGGCCTGGGACCCAGGGCTGGGCCCTAGGCTCTCTTCCTCCGTGGCTCAGACTGTGGACGACTTCCTGGTGGAGAAGTGGCACAAGTATTTTCCAAGTAAGCCTCCCCGCCTTCCTCCTCTGCCTACCCTTTGTCCCCCAGCTTTGACAGGAACCATAGTCCATTGACTGGGGTCTGTGGGTCCTTGGGAAGACCTTGCTGGTCACTGGAGGCCCTATGGGTCATGATGGTTTACCTAATGGGGCCCTTATGATGGATTCTAGAGCTCAACAGAACTCAGAAGGTCCCTGTTGTCATCATCATGATTGCTGCCATCGTGTGTTATGGGCCAGGCCTTTTGTATATGGTTTTTCATTTGGTCTCTATAATATTTATCCCCACCTTACAGATGAGGTAACTGTAATATGCTCCTGGATACCCAGAAAGTGAGCAGCAGTCTGGGTTTTGACCTCATGTCTCTCCTTATAACCCCTTGGCTACATGTGGCCTGCCCCTGGTCTCATAGCCCTGCTAAGGAATGTGAAAAGCCATAAAAACAGTTATTTGAAGGAAAAAGTTGCATCTCCTTGTCCTGACCCAAGTTTAAGCTTTAGAAATAGGACAGGTGCTGTCTGTCATGTCTCACCTCCAACCACAGAAACTTTTCCTGTTTCTGTCTGGGGGGAGGCAGGAAGTAGCTGGCTGGCTCTGGCTCAGCTGAACCACTGCCCGTTTCTGAACGATTCCCTTTCACTGTTCTAGCTGGCATCCCGTTCCTCAGCAGCAGCCCTGGCCCGCTGGAGAACAGGCTGGGATACGTGTCTGCCAGGTAAGCCTCCCCATGGGCTCAGGGTGGAGCCGTCTGGTCGTTGCTCAGAGGGGCTAGGCAGACCCCCAGTCCACCCAGCTGCCTGGGTCTGAGGCACCCCACACCCTCCCCCCTAACCAGAGAAAAGTCCACACCACCGCGGTCCCACTGGGGGCCGGGCTGGCCTGACCTGGTCCAGCCCCATGAGGAAGCACTGGGGGGAGAAATTGGCCCCAGGTACCACCCTGCCCCTTCTGGCCCTGGAGTAGGGCTTTCGTCTCTGCCACTGAGCTCTTTGTGTGCTTCACATGGCTCCCTTCTCCCCCCAGGCCTGCTGAGCAGCATCTGGAGCGAGAGGGGGCGCCCCGTGGGGGAGACAGATGGGCAATTAAACCTGTTATTAATTTCCCATTCATCTTATTCCTTGCCAAATGTATCCCCCAACCACAAGTACAACCCCCCTCACCCTTTGGCCAGTTCAGGAGCTAATGCGGGGAAGGTACGTGAGTTGGCCAAGAGGAAAGCCTGCGTGGAAGAGACTGACTGGGACCGGGCAGATGTGGGCGCTTCCCTGGCAGGAACATTCACCCGGGGTGGGGGGTGCTCCTCTACTGCCCTTTCGAGAACTGATGCTCATCGTTGCAGAAGCCTTCTCGCCCGTGGAGGGAGCTTTGCCTGGTCAAGGAGCCCCCTCCCTCCGGCACTGCTGCCTCCTCTCCCCTCTCCTCAGTGAGCAGCTCCGCTGCCTGCAGCGCTCCCATTCCCAAGTCCCCCAGGCGGGCAGCACCAACTTCCAGGACATGATGGAGGCTAACCGAAAGTGGCTGGAACGCTACAGGAATGACCCCAAGTCGTATCCTTTTAGCTGCTTCCCAAACCCCAGTCCCTTCCTGATGTAAAATGCCGAGGTGGCTGCAGGACTTGTATGTGGGCCCTGGGTGGTCCGAGGAGGATCCTGTTCAACCTTAGACCCTTGCCTGGCTGTGCTCAGCTGACTGCAGAGTTTTCCTTCACCTTGTGGCCAGACATCTCTTCTCCTCGGTGCCCAAGTCCACAGCCAGCTCCGGCTTCCTGCAGCTGGGCCTGGATGAGAACAGCAGACTGAAGGTGTATCACTACTGAGGCCCGAGGAGCTGCCTGCACTTTAACTCCCTCGGATAAAACATTCTCCTGTCCCCTCTGCTGCTCGCCTTACCCAACTTAGAGGAACCACAGAGGCCAAGGCTAGAACGACCGGAAACAGGAAGCTGCCCCTGTGACCGCGTAGCACAGCTCAGGCTCCTGCGTGGACCTGGCAACACTGCTGTGGGGCAGCAGGGACCGGGGCACCTTAAGGAGAAGTGGCACTGAAAGAGCTTCCTTCACAGGCCAGGGGACTCCCTTCAGAGCAGAGTTGGTCTCTTGGGGCTGCCAGGCCTGCTTGGGGCTCCCACGGTCGTGTGTGCGGTCCTTAATTCAGAACAAAGCCCCCCAGCCTGTCTGTACCCAGGGACCAGGCCTCTCTCTCTCTAATACCTCAGCTGCGTAGCCACCTGACCCTTTTCCTTTTTTTAAAATGTCCCCTTTCTTGAGCGCTCTGTCTCTCCTTCTGACTATCTCAGGACTAGGCCCAGAGCCCTGGGGGAGGCTGCTGGAGCTTGGCTGCATGTCTTCCCCCTCCCGGCACTGGGCTCTCCTCAGGAGCCCTCCCTTTCCCTTCCCTGGGGCTCCTCCCCAGACCCGTCCCAGCTTGATTCTCAGGGCGCAAGCACCCAACTTTCAGGAAGCCAACAAGCCGTAGGACAAGACTGGCATGGCTTCTGGTCCTCATCTTGGTTGTCTCTTCCTGGACCACCTTTGGTACATTCATGGGTTCTTGTTTCCGTCTGTTCTAACTGTGCCACCCCCCACCCCATCCCCAAGCTTGGAGACTTCTTGTGGAGGAGGCGAGCGGCCGGGCCTGGGCCTGGCCTGGCGGGGAGGGCGCTTGTGCCAGGGGCAGCAGCTCCACCTCCCTTCAGCGGGCTCCTCAGGGGGACTTGCAGGGGGTGTTCTCCGACATCTGCCCCATTGTTTACATTAAACACCCCCATTTTTCTTGCCTTGAGAGCTGTGGGGTTGCCCTTGCCTCTCCAATGCAAAGCAGCCAACTCTACCACCCCACCCCTCGTCTTTGTCATGGAATAAGACTAAGATCCAGTTGGCCTGTTTACCCCGCAGATACGTTTTAGGCTTCGGTCTACCATGTAGAAGAACATCCTTTTTGTATTTGGTTCATGCTGCGTGCTTTGGGACTAACTCATGTGTTACAGCTAACTCTGGTGACCGTCTTGTGTTTTCTACATCAATTAAATCTCTTCAGGTCCATTTGCTACCAGGCAGTTGTGTGAATGTGTCTCCTTCTCTTTGAAGGCCTTTGCCTCCTTCCTCTTAAGAATAGAGGAAAGAAAATTAATATTCATGGAACGTCTAGGGATCAGGTCTAATCACTGCAAACCTGTGATAGAGATTGTCAGCTGTTTCTGTGGATGAGAAAACCAAGGCAAAGCTATCTTTAAGGGCCTGAGGTTCTGGAGAAAGCAGCTGGGCTCCCTACAAATCGGGACCTCACACTCCATCCTTGTGCCCCCAGAGCTCCCCGGCCTTCTGTCTCTCCCAACTCCACCCGCCGCTGCCGGAGACTCACTACCATTTCCCAAAGGCCACCTGGCATTGTTTACTCCATGCAGACAAATGAGAGCTAAGCCCCCTGGAAGTCCCAAGCTGGCAAAGTTAGGGATTTTTTTTTCCTGCTCCAGCAGTGTGAACAGCCTGCGTAGTCTTGGATTTATAATAACAAAATTGCTAGAACCACCACCTGAGAAGGCACATTTTCAGGGACTTGCTTAAGAAAACCGATTTAAGACAAAACGCACAAACGAAGTCAGCCTCCTCTGTGTCCCAGTGTCCGAGCCGCTTTGAGGAAGGGGAGCCTGTGGCTGGCTTGTTCGGCCCACTCGGCCCTTACACGGGGGTGGGGGGAATAGCCTAGAGAGATGATGTGAGTGGCTAGAGTTACGGTCTGTGTGTGGCAGACATGAGACCAGATCTGCGCTGTCCTGACTCCTAGCCTGGGGCATCAGGGAAGAGTATTTTCAAAAGGATACTCACTTTGAAGAGGCTCTGTGTTCACATCTCAATATTCAGATGGTACAAAAGTCAGTCCATCCGTGGGCTTCTTGATGGTAATGAATGTACCAGTTCTTTCTAGAGATTTTATGCAAATATAAGGAAAAAAAGAGACTGTTTTGAGTCTCTTCCCTTTTACTGGTGGGGTAAGGGTCATTCCTACCATAGGCTCAGATGGTTTTCCAAAGCTCTTTTGTGAGACATTCATTGCCTGATTTCTTAAGGAAGCAACGTTGGGCATGGTAATAGCCCCCTGACCACAAAAACTCCCACCCAGAATGGCAGTGCGGGGAGTGGGGAAAGAACCCTGGCCTCAGGACCCCGGGTTTATTGTTGGCTTTGGCACCTACAAGCTCTGGGACCAGAATAAATCCTTTCTGGGCCCATGTCTGCCCTGGTCAAAACCCTGAAGCCCAAATCCACACTCCAGCGATGACGCTGGAGGGCGGCCTAGGCTTCAGTGACTCTGAGGGGTCTGCCTTGGGTAGGGTGCTGCTGGCATCCAGAGACGGGCTGGAACACCTCCGGTGGCCTAAAATAGGGCTCAGGTGCGGAGGGGTGCTGGTAGGGGGGTTGCCTGTCCCACCAGCAGCTTCTTCGGGGGAGGTGGGGAAGTGATGCTTAAAAATTATAGTATCTGCCATCACCAGAGCTGATGAATTGGAAATTCATCCTTTCCTCTTGCATCTCCGACCTACTTCGGCCTCTCCCATTGGCTTTGCCATCTCTAGCAGGTATGTACACAGAGGGCCTACTGAAGGGCAGTGTGACACTGTTTGCCAGGATGGTGGAGAGGGATGTCTGCTCTTTGGGGTGCTGCTCAGGTTTAAAGGTGGAGGAGGTGTGAATCAAACAAAAGTTCCCACTTTAGCCTCTCTCTGCCTCAGTTTTCACATCTGTAAAATGGGGCTAATAGCAGTGACTATCCCATAAAGTGGTTGTGAAGATTAAAGAAGTCCATTCATATAAAGTTCTCAGGACAGTGTTCGATGCATAGTAAGGGGGATGATGTCATCAGGATGGTGCCGTAGGGTGTTCCTGACTTTCCTCCCTCCTTAAGAGAACCATTCGTGGATGGACACCTCAGAGAACTCTAGAGCCCAGCAGTGAGGCTGGAGCAACCCCTGTACCTCAGAGACTGAGACAGACAACACCTTAGGAGGGTAAGAGGAGCAACTGCATGCTGACCGCATAGTCCCTCCCCTAGGCCAGCTCAGCTTCAAACCGAGAGGTCTCCCCTGAGCCTATGGGCCCCCAGAGGGAAAAGAACACCCAGTGGTGACATCCAGCATGCCCAGCATTGCGGGTCACTTCATGGGAGCCCTTGCTCTGGTTTCATCCCACTGGGATCACAGGGGACTCTGCAGGGCTCAACCGCTGGGAATCTGATCGTGATGGAGAAGCAGGAGGGGCTTCCAGCCCTCAGTCTTGACAGCCCAGATTCCTACCTGGAGAGCCCAAGTAATAGTCCCAGCCTGTGGCTTTGCTCAGCTGCAGAACCAAGTTGATGGTGCAGTGTGTACCAGGGAACTTGGTGGGGTGCAGGTCTGCAGGACTCAGGTCCTCAAATGAGGAGTTTTACCAGCCCTGGAGCCTGCGCTGGTCAGCTCACTTCCAGGCAGAAGAGCGGAGTCGTAGCCACACCCACTGTGAAGTGTGCCTCCCAGCCCCTCCCGACCGAAAAGCCTATTCGGGAACATCTGGGAGTTGGCAGGAGTGGGCCTCCCAGGCAGGTGAACAGACACAGCCCTACCCACTGGGTTTGGCTCCTGAGCCATCTAATGGGAAGGGCTGCCGAGAACACGTAGAGGCTGCTGCCCATTCAGCAAAGCTCGACCTGAGAGGCAGGTAGGCAGAACTGCCTGCCGTCAGAGCAAAGCTCGTGGCCCTGTCGGGCCAGGGAACTTGGGGCATAGGTTGGCCTGAGTCAAGGCCACAATGAGCCTTAATGGCCTTGGAGCTATTCTCCCACTGCCCCCGGGAGAGAAAGTAATTCATAGCCCCCGTTACCGCGGAGTGCAGCCTTTATCTCACCAGGGACGCTGACTAGAGCACACTGGAAGCTGTGTGGCCCATCCCACAGCACTGCTTACAGTGGCATTTGGATGGGGAGCACATCCCATGGCTTTCCCCGTCTGCAGAGCAAAACTGGTGGCTCACCGACCAGGATATTCGGTATGCGCTCTTGCCTGCTTTAGGTCCCCAGATGAGCCATGCAGGCCCTGGGGCCCATCCTGCTGCCCTCCAGGGCAGGGGTGCTCATTCAGAGCCCCACCTACTGCTGGGTATTGTACCCAGTCCCAACTAAGTAGGAAGCCTAACCACAGAATTCAGGCAACCACAGAGCTCATCTATAGCCTCACGCGGTTAGGGAACCAAGCCAGCAGTCTTACCCAGCTGTTCTTAGCCAGTCACACCCGCCTCCGACCTCAGAGCTTAAACAGTTGCCTCACACAAAAACAGATCCTAGTAGCAGGCCCCACCCGCCCGAGGATGTTACCAGCAGACACATCCAGAAACCCAAACTGAGCTGACAGGTGAAGGACTGTCTCTGCCAAAGCAAACCTGCGAAGTCTGGAAGAAGAGACTACTTGCAGATGGGAAGATACCAACACAAGGACTCCAGGATCATGAAAAATCAGATAAATATGACACCACTGAAGGAAACCAATAAAACTCGAATAACTGACCCGAGAGAAACAGAGGCCTGTGATCTGTCAGACAAAGAATTCAGAGTAGTGCTCTTATAGAAGTTTAGTGAACTATGAGAACACACAGGTGGCTAAATGGAATTAGGAAAACAAGGCATGAACAAAACAGGTTCAGCAAAGAAATAGACACCATCAAAAAAGAAAAAATCCTAGTGCTGAAAAATACAATAACTGCAGAATTCAGTAGAGAGTGAGAAAGCAGACTCAACTGTGCAGCGAAGTGAATCAGTAACTTGGAAGACAGGAAATATGAAATTGTCCAGAGGAGCAAAAAGG